AATATACTGAAAAAGAGAAATATACTAAGGAAAATATACTGAAATTCCGAAGTATGAGGTAGACATTCATTATTTTCAACGTTTAGTTTTCTCCCAAGTATCATCTTTAAAATGCAATGAAAAGGATAATGACTGTTGCCTTATGTTGCAGTAAGCTAATCCAGCAATGTGAATACTGACTGCTAGGTATATGATGTATGATTCTGACAACTGCGCACTCTTGATGATGTTTTTCATTATTACCCGCGATCCGTAACGAGAAAAAAAGATACCGAATACTGGTTCCTTGAATTTTATCGCTAATATGTATTATAAAACATAATATATGTACGTAGAATGAGTCGGAAGACTTTTAAAGTGCTCTTTAAAGCTAATAACATTGGTCCCGGGGGTTAAGTAACTTTTTGGCATAAAGAACAATTACCTTTTTTATGATGGAATTCCATCAGTTACTGCCTATTTAACTACAGTGATTTGAAAAAATCAAGATTGTCAAATCATAGAAATCCTTACACTTCTTACGTCACACCGAAGAGCAGGTTCACATCTCTCAGATTTCGAGACCATTACACAATGAAATTTATAAATGCGAAATTTGCACAGCAGCTGTAAGTCACCAGAGCTTTCGAGAATACGTGCGTTCTATCGCAACTCATAATCCACGGATCACGGAAACCGGCTTTTTATCTGGAAGAGTCTCTGATCTGCAGAATTCCAAGCCTAACTGCAACTGTTTTTTCACCACATATTTCACAGAATAGGGAAATTCAATTCTTTAAAAACAGCATTCAAAAACATGTTAAAGTACTGCCGCGATTCCTGCCACATGATTCATAAATTATTTATGCAGTGAAGGAATTTAAAGGATAAAAGAACAAGCAGAGAAAAGAAAGTAATAAAATAAATAATTTGTTATCCTTTTTTGAAACAAGAAATGATAACGCTAAAAAAATCATGTCTAGGAGAGAATGAGACGAAAAGGCAATAAAATTTTAGGACATCGAAAAACGCTTAGAATAAGTCCTCTTGCTATCTAATGACTCGTAAATCGTTATACAGCTAATTCCAAACACACTGTTAGAAAAAGATTCTAATCCTAATAAAAGAATTAGGATCCTCCCAAACAGACGAAATGAATGATGACAGGCCCTTATGATAACTTTCTTAGAAGAGTAATGCCTACAGATAAAGGTTAGGGGAATTAGAGGAATGTTTTCACTTTTGGTTGAAATTTTGAAATATTTAGAAAATATTTAGCGAGAGCAGGAATGTGCAGAAATGCAAGCTATGCCACACCTCTCTCGATGAGATCCTCACTAACTTCCCCCCTTCTTTTTCCGCGTGTTACTCTTTCTTTTCCAAAGAAATCCTATTTTACACTCATCATGTACAGCAATGAGTACGATTTTTTATCCACTGTAGTATTGATTTATATATACATAAATATATATTATATATATATATATATATATATATATATATATATATATATATATATATATATATATATATATATA